AAACCTGAAGTATGTTGGAATCGTGTACAATGTGACATTAAAAACTGAGCAAAGTGGACGAAGATGTGGCAGACCTGAAAAACTATCTACAGCAGTCCAGCGGTGATTTCCTCCAGAAACAGGAAAACACTGAAACATGGACTGGGAGTGATATAAAGCTTTACGCTCAGCACTCACTTTTACAGTCCACATTCATAGATGTGCTTTTTTCCTATGCATAAGGATTTTTATGTGTTATTCACAAATATCCTAAAACTCACCAACTCAGACTTCAGTATCTTCCCCAAGGGCATTTCAACAAGCAGACCTCATGAGCTACAGACCCAACTACAGACCTTCCACCTGGCAGATGATCCACTCTATACTGTGGGCTGGGTGGACAGGTTTGGGTTTTTGGGTGGAGCTGTGGGAAGTCTCCCACATGTTCATACCTGCAGCACATTGCCATCACCTGAACTGTGTATTTAAGGACCAGCTGTGGCACTGCTTCTAAGACTTATCATCCCATCCCCATCGGTAGTAAATGAAACTGTTTCCAGTGTGCACTTTGCTTATGTTGGATCCGGCTATTCTCTTGCATTTGTCTCCCAGTCATCTGTCTGGATAACTCAAGTGTCTCACAGCTACATCTCACCTGGAGCACAATGCTGCCGGTTTGTCCAAGCCCGGAGTCCGCTGTGGACCTGGCCACTCTCCACCGTTTTGATGCACATCACTCCCAAAAGCCACCTACTGGTTCCCCTCACAGCTATCCTGTCTACTAAGCCAAGTAAGAATACTTCCATTATCTCCAAAGTCTTTGCTCATTTCCTCCCTACCAGTCACTGCTTATACTTCTCTGATGTCATCTTAAGAACACAGCAGTGGAAAAATACTCTTAATGAAGGGATTAAGTAAAAACAACACACACACACAAAGACAGATGACCCTGTGGGTGGTCTATCCTTCAAGCTCCTCTACCAGAGGCCTGGGAGCTTGAGGGTCCTGTGCAATATCTTAGCCGTTCCCAGGACTGCGCTCTTGTGGACAGAGCTCTCCGATGTTGTTTCTGGGATCTGCTGGAGCCACTCGCCTAGCTTGGGAGTCACTGCACAGAGTGCTTCGATTACCACTGGGACCAGTTACCTTCACCCTCCACATTTTCTCGAGCTCGAGGTCATTCTCCACCACCCTTGGGGGCTTCTCCCAGTTTGATCTCAGGACTTCCAGGCCACACTCGGCACAGATGTTCCTGTACACTATGCCGGCCACTTGGTTATGGCGTTCCATGTATGCCCTGCCTGCTAGCATCTTACACCCTGCTGTTATGTGCTGGATTGTCTAAGGGGCATCTTTACACAGCCTGCACCTGGGGTCTTACCTGGTGTGATACAACTCAACAACTCAACAACTTCTTCAACAGGTTTGACCAGCCCACACCCCCCCCACCCTCACCCTCACCTTCACTACAGAGTCCAATCCCCACTCTCCTACCTCCCTCGCTTCCCCCCCTTCCTGACACCATGACACCCCCCTCCTCCAATCCCTCTCTCAGCAGCAAGACATCTCCCCCCCTCCCCTCCTCCCAAACATCTCCCAGTGTCACAGTGGATCAGGTCAGGAGACAACTGAGGAAGCTTCGCCCCAGAAAGGCAGCAGGCCCAGACAAGGTGTGTCCTAGGATGCTAAAGGCGTGTGCTGCTGAACTTGGGGAGCCGCTACAACGAGTCTTCAACCTCAGTCTGCGACTGGGGAGAGTGCCCGCCCTATGGAAGACATCCTGCATCGTCCCGGTCCCCAAAAAGAACCGGCCCAATGAGCTGAATGACTTCCGACCGGTGGCACTGACGTCACATCTTATGAAGACTCTAGAGCGGCTCTTCCTCAACCTCCTCCGACCACAGGTACAACATGCCCAGGACCCACTACAGTTTGCATACAAGGCGGGTGTCGGAGTGGAGGATGCCATCCTGTACCTCCTACACAGAGCCCACTCACACCTGGATGGGGGAAAAGGCACGGTCAGGATCCTGTTTCTTGACTTTTCCAGTGCCTTTAATACCATCCGGCCCTGTATGCTTCAGGAAAAACTGAACAGGATGGAGGTGGACCCCTGCCTGGTGGCTTGGATCTCCGACTACCTCACCGACAGACCACAGTACGTCAGGCTGAAGGACATCACGTCTGACACAGTGGTCAGCAGCACAGGAGCACCACAGGGAACTGTGCTGTCCCCTCTTCTCTTCACCCTGTACACCTCTGACTTCTGCTACAACTCTGAATTATGCCACATTCAGAAGTTTGCAGATGACACGGCCATCATGGGGTGTATCTGGGATGATCAGGAAGAGGAGTACAGAAGTCTGGTGAGGAACTTTGTCGCATGGAGTCACACAAACCACCTGCAACTCAACACCTCAAAGACTAAGGAACTGGTTGTGGACTTCGGGAGGTCCAGAGAAGGTCCACTGCCGGTTCAGATAGAGGGGGAGGAGGTGGAGGTGGTCAACAAGTACAAGTACCTCGGGCTGTGGGTGGACAATAAACTGGACTGGTCATGCAACACAGAGCACCTGTATAAAAAAGCCCAAAGCCGACTGTACTTCCTCAGGAGGCTGAGGTCTTTTAACATCTGCAGGAAGCTCCTGAGGATGTTTTACCAGTCGGTGGTTGCTGGAGTACTTTTCTATGCTGTGGTGTGCTGGGGGAGCAGCACAGCAAAGAAGGACTCATCCAGGCTGGAGAAACTGATCAGGAGAGGCTAGCTCTGTGGTCGGCATGAAGCTGGACACTCTGGTGACAGTGGCAGAGAAAAGGACATTAAAGAAACTGATGGACATTATGGACAATGCTGAGGCATCCTCTGCACACGGCCATTAACAACCAGAAGAGTCTGTTCAGTGACAGGTTGCTTCTCCCAAAGACAAGAACTAACAGACTTAAAAACTCCTTTGTCCCACACGCCATCAGACTGTTTAACTCCTCTCTGGAGGGGAGAGGGAGGGGAAACAGGAGGACAAAGGAGGGGGGAACAACTAAGCTGTAGTGCCTCTTCACCTCACTGTGCAATACCTTGTGCAATACTTTTGTAAATAGTCAACAGTGCAATAGACCTCAATACTTGAAATGTGCAATTCACTTGTATTTTTATTTTTTATTCCTATTTATTCTATTTATCCCCTTCTGTATATTTTATTTATATTGTCTCTGTATTTATATATATGTGTGTGTGTGTATATATATATAATATTCTGTAACTCTGTAACTTCTGTCGGTGCTGTGCTTTTTTGGAAATCGAATTTCCCAGAGGAACCCACCCGAGGGATTAATAAAGTTCTATCTAATCTAATCTAATCTAGACCCCAGCCTCTATGGATCTTGTGCTCTGAGCTTGCTCCTGTGCTGCCATATATATATGGCAGCATATATGGGGCTTCCATGGTGATACTGAACACCAGTCCCACCTCAAAACCTCCACCACTCCTCCCAGGGATCTGAGGAGATGAAGCAGGGAGAAACAAGCTAGTTGGGTCTTCCTGGTAAATGCTCTGCAGTTGGTGGCTGCACTAGAGGGGAGCAGAGGAGGCTCCTTCTCAGGGACAGAACAGGCCACTCAGCCATTTGGTCCTCTGACAATGCAACTGTCACCTCATTGCTCATCCATAATCATTTTGAGGATATCTCTGAAAGTGGATGCAAAGGTTTTATGGATTGATGTATCCAAATTTGAACTTTATGGTTATATGTGTATGTATGTATGGAGCACATCAGGACAGAGGTACAAGCTATCTATCTGTAAAACACACTGGAGGCTCTGTTGTGGTGGGATCATCCTTATTCCCATCCCATTGAACATGATCACCGTAAAAATAAAAATAAATCAACTGAAATGTAAAAAAAACAACAACTGTGCAAACAACCACAGTAATGTGAAACAATGTGACAGAGAGAGGGAGACAGTTTTTCTGAACCCAATTCAGGTTTAACGTACACGAAAAACAGCTATTTCCAATCATGCGAGGGAAGGGGGGAGTTGCAGGATGTGCCACTAACACAGTGATTAGCACAACAGAGAAGCTCACATCCTAAGATGTAATGTTTGTGAAATTCAACACTGTGTAGTGATGTTAGGAAGAATCAAGGGCAAACACGTTATAACAGATGCAGATCTTCAGTAGGTGGATGTAGCTGTGCCTGCATCTATTGGCTCTGGTCAATTAAAGATGGACTCAAATGATGGTAAATGAACTGATTCTTATACAGCGCTTTTCTACTCTCCCAGAGTACTCAAAGCACTGTATACAACATTCACCCAATCACACCCATTCTCACTGACTCTAAACTGATTTCTAACGACATTCACACTCCGATGGATGCAGTGGAGAGCAACTTGGAGTTAGTATCTTGGCCAGGGATACTTGGCATGCAGACTGGAGGAGCCAGGGATCAAACCACCAACCTTCCAATCAGTAGGTGACCTGCTCTACCTCCTGAGCTACAGCTAAATGATCTGACTGTTGTGATGTCTCTAGGATTATCAGCCCGAGTCTCACACCCCAGTCTGGATGCTTAAGGACAGATGTCCCCTTCCTGTTTCATTCCACTTTGGACTCTATTCACAGCCTTCACTCTTTAGCTAACAAACGCCAGGGATATGCAGTGAAATACACTCACAGGCCTATTGTGCTGCCGTTTTAGGCTGTAAGCTATTTATTTGGGCTAATGTGGATTTTACCAGCAGTTACTTTGCCGTAGGATTGTGTTGCGTTGATCTCCGTTAGAGCTGTCGGGGGCGTTTTTGCAGGATTTTCCCTCCGCTGAATTTTTCCCCTTTGCAGCATCAGTAGCACAGAGCCAGCCTCCGACCAACTACGCTGTTCCTGCTTGCACTGTGGGATTTTTTTCCTGAGGTCTGGAACCAGGATTATTAGGCACAAGGACGGCGAAACACAACGGCCCGTCTGTTGCTGCACAGGAGCGTCACGAGTTCGCGCAGATTCACGTTAGAAAAACAGGTAGAAACTTGGGCTTTATTTGATGTTTCGAGGCGCAGCGCATATCCGGATCGACGGGGACGCGTTACTTTCCGTGTGTTGGAGCCTCCGTGGAAAACGAAGGGGCGGGTGGGTCTGCTGTGGAGAAAAGGCTCGTTCAGGTTTATGTCTGTGTGGTACGGTAACGGATGTGCGCGGAGCCGTTAAACGTTGAAGCTGCTACATGGTGCCGACCCGACCTAGCTAACGTCCGCTCGTAGCTTCGTGTTCACGCTGACTTCGTGTCCGAGAAGGAATAAAAACACTTCTCAGTGGGAGCGAAGCCGGCTCCGACACTTTCCGTGAGCCAGCCGTCAAAGCGAGGCTTTTGTGGCGACGCCGTAAAGGTGTCGCTCGCCTGGCTCCGACCTAGCTCGGTACAGTAACGTTAGCTTACATGCTGAGGTCGCGTTCCCTTTTTCTCCGTTTACACTACACGCACGTACACTACCCACAGTATTAACACTAGCGACGTGATGCTGTTTGTACATACGTGGGGACGATGTGCGTGAACTCCAGCGGCGCGGATGCAGGCCGCAGCATATCAATAACCTTTCCGAATAGCGCGGCGTGGAAAACAAACACTGTGCCCTTCATTATGACACCACGCACACACACAGCCACACGTGTAAAAGAATGTGCAATGAAAGCACACGCAGCTAGTGTGTTCACGCCGGGACTGCGTCTCCCACCAGCACCTGGCTGACGTCAGAAACCATGTTCTCACCTGAGCGTCACGTATGTGGGGACAGCTGTGAACACATGATGCTTGAAAAGCTGTCAAATAATAACTCGCTGTTTCTGATTGAATTTGTTTAATATACATTAATGTACAGTTTCCATTGAACTCTGTATTTAATTCAATTAGTTTTATTTGTACAGCATCAAATCACTGCAACAGGTGCCTCAAGGTGCTTTATGTGTAAGGGCGACCCTACAATCATATGACCCCCTATGAGCAAGCAGTTTGGCGACAGTGGGAAGGAAAAACTCCCTTTTAACAGGAAGAAACCTCCGGCAGAACCAGGCTCAGGGAGGGGCCATCTGCCTATACACGGGTGGAGTTTTCATGTTCTCTCTGTTCCCCTGTGTTTCTGCTGGGCCTCCAGCTTTCTCCCCAAAGTCATGCTAATTAATTTGTGATTCTAAATTGGCAGTGGCTGTGAGCTCCATATAAAACAGTGCATTCATTTACAGTTAAAACATGTCATCAGGATGATGGGAAAGGGGTTATTTACATGCCACTGCATTGATCTGGTTGCACTGCGGCTGAGTGTTGTGGAAATTGTGAGGACACACGTATTTATTTAGTACAGTTTAGAGGAACAGAGCATCCTGCTAACGAGAGTTTCATTATTGTTAGCATGTGTTTGTGTCAGTCACTGGCTGTTGTCGCACTGTGTCCAGACAAACATGTCAGCCAGAGGAGGAAAGAAGAAGGCCACCAAGCTGTCCCGTTCAGCCAGGGCAGGTGTCATCTTCCCAGTGGGGCGCATGATGCGGTATCTGCGCATTGGCACGCACAAATATCGCATTGGCATGGGGGCTCCGGTGTACATGGCAGCTGTCATTGAGTACCTGGCAGGTAAGTTTGATACATGAGAGCATGTGAGTGTGTTCAGTGTGCTGTGGCATATCTAAGGGACATAATTCAAAGTTGAATTTCTGCAACACTCAAAGCTCAGAGTACTTTGATAATCCTTTATGTGGATATATGTATATACATACATATACATATATACATACATATACATATATACATACATATATATATGTATATATATGTATACATATATATGTAT